AAACTCAGGCCCTTGGGCTTGCGAGGCAGGCAAGGTGCAACTGAGCTAAATCCCCAGCACTAAAAGTCTCTTTTGTTACTTTTTTTTTTTTTTTTTGTACCGGGGATCGAACTCGGGTCCTTGAGCTTGCGCAGTAGGCAGCGAAACCACTGAGCTAAATCCCTGGCCCTGCCTCCTTAATTATTAATGATTTGTCAATGAGTCAGGGCTTCCAGGGACTTTGGTAGCCAGACACTGCTCTCCAATACAAAAAAAAAAAGCACAAGGGTGATTATCTCTGGGGACCACTGTTCATGGAAGGGGCTAGGAGGTAGGAGGCTGGGGATGGGAATGAGTCCTAAAAGGGAGGCTCCCATCCCCTTTTCGGTGCCACTAGCCTCTCACTACATACCCCTCCGCGTGGGCACCCTAGACAAAAATGATGGGATCAAGGCTCTGAGCATTTCCTAGTCAGCCTCAAGCAGTGCTCACCAACCGGCTTCCTGACTGACCTGGACCAGGGCTTAGCAGTCCCATCTCCGTGGGAGGCGTATGTGCAGGCGCAGTGGGTTCCTCGTGCCTGTGAATATAGGTAGCTAGCATGAGCGGCCGACTGGGTAGGCGGCCAAAAGACCAGGCCAGCATCTCGAAGAGCCAGGGGCTGGGGACGGCCGCACTCCTTGACGTGGCACCCCTTGGGCTGCCCAGAGCTCGGGAAGCAGCTCCAAGTCCTGGCCCAGCCTGGAGAGCTGTCTTGCGAAGCGGAGGAAGCTCGGGGAAGGGACAGGGCCTAACGTGGACTACAGGGAGCAAAGGCCCGCACCGGCGGCTCCAGTCAGATTGCTCGGGAGGACATCCTGGCCTTGGTTTACAATGGTCTGTTAGCAAAATTATCTAGTGAATAAAGCAACGTTCAGTGCACAAGGAGTGGAATTCAATGCCCGCGGCTCCTAAACAGGAGTCCCAAACCTGAACTTCCCAGGAGGGCAGTGGGAGCTCGTCGCCAATGAGACGCATGCGCAACCCTCAAACTGCTTCCTCTCGCGCGAGTTTTCCCGAGAGGACCAATTACCACTTGCTTCCCGATTGGACCAGTTCGTAGGTTGTCGTCCGCCATCTTTGCTCAGGCCTTGAAACGTGCCTTTGACCGCCTTCACGGTGAGGGCGGAGGCCCCGCCCCACTCGGCTCTTCCATACCCGGCGGTAGTTCGAGCGCAGCAGCACGTGTGTGTCGCGGTGAGCTCTGGCTCTACCGCGGGGAGCCCAAAGTAGAAGGGAGGCGGAGGAGCGGGGATCACGTGGTGTTAGGGACCGTCTTCTAATTCCGTACCGCCACTGCCGGTGTTTCGGGGCTGAGGACCGTTCTGGTTCTCCCCCTCCCCCACCGAGCCCAGTCCCCTCGAGGTAACCGCTGACCCACAGACGGCCCCCACAAGACCCTACAGGGACCCAGGAGCCTAGGGTTGAAATCTGACTTCAACAGGAAGTTGGTATTCATTTTACTATTTTTTTTATGATGTTAAAAATGAATTCTTAATGAATTTCTACCAAGTACCACCCAAAATTCGTGCTTACTGCCTTTGGTTGTTGCAAAAATTGAAGGGATAATAAGTGCAAAGCGCTTACAAGAGCCTGGTACAAGTCAGCGCTCAGTAAATGTTGGTTATTCTCAGTTTTTACACACCTGGAAACGGGATTGGGGAGGCTAACGTCAAATAGGCGGCACAATCTAGATCTGAGTCCAGGACTGACTGACTCCAGTGACCGCGCCGTGCTCTCACTGATGCCCCAAAGGGTTCACCAAGTTGTAGGGAAATGCTCTCATTGCTGGTCCCCCCTGTTGCAGTCACTAACCCCAGGACCCCTGCGTTCTGCTCATTTCTCTGGAGTCTTGTCTCCTGTGCGTCATTCATTCATTTATTCATTCAGTGTCCTCCCAAGAGGTTCAGTCCGGGGTTATGCTGATTCATTTAGATGCGGGTGCTGGAGAGACAAACGTGTCACCTGCTGAGTCGGGCACCCACCTCTCTCGGGCCCTTACCATCATACTCCAGCTTCATTTATTTAGTCTCCTTAAGAGCAGGTGATCTAAAGTCACATAGTCTAGATTCAAGTCCCAGCGTCATCACTTAGAGGCTTCTGTCCTGGGAGAACTGACCAGCAGAGACCTCCAGAGGAGAGCTGAGCCCACGAAGGTTGTGTGACCTTGGGCAAGTGACCCACCTTCTCTGTGCCTCTATTACCTCTTCTATAAAACGGGGTCCCACGCTGGTGGGAGGGTTTAAGAAAATAAGCTTTGATGACTTATAATTAATCTTCGAGATCATCCCAGAGAGTGGATATTAGCGGCCCCCTCCCCCCATTTTACACAAGAACAAAGTGAAGCTTAGAGAAGTAGATTTTGGCCCCAGGACACTTCGCTATGAGTACCGGCCTGTTTGGCTCCCCAAATTACAGTCAGTCCAGGGAAAGGTTTGCTTCAACTACTCAGGGAAAACTAGACAATTGGTAAAACCCAAGCCTGCTGGGAGAGGGGCTTGGGTGAGCGAGGCAATTTGCAGACACTCCCTTCCGGCGGAGATTGCCCCCGCCGTCCTTCAGATCGAGCCCTGCGGCGGGTCCAGCCCTGGCCGACCGTAGTGGTGGTGAAGGGGTTGGCAGAAGCAGTGCTAGCTGCAGTGGCCCGGCCGAGGCGGGAGCGTCATGTCAGAGCCGCAGCTGCGTGGCGCCGAGCGCGACCTCTACCGGGACACGTGGGTGCGATACCTGGGTGAGTGCGGGGTGACTGGCGCGGCGACCCATGTGGTGGTGGGAGGGGGAGGAGCAGGGGTCGCCAGATGCCTGCCCCAGGGCCTGGAGATGAGCGAGGGTCTTGGTTCTCATTCTGCCTGGGTCAGGGCTGGCTGGGCTAAGGACAGGGCTAGGGACTTGCCCAAGGTCATACAACTTTCATGGGTTCACCTCTGCCCCGGGGTCTCGGCTGGCCAGTTCTCCAAGGATGAACTCACGATGCAGTCCTGCCGCTCCCTGGCTCTGTGTGAGCCTGTTTCCTTCTCAACAAACAGGGCTGAACAGGATGGTCTTCCTCCTTGGGTGGTGGTAGTAAGGTGGGGTGAGATAAGGCACAAAAACACCTGGCACATGGGGAGTGTCTGGTCAGTGAAGATGCCCCGAGTCAATCTCTGGCTGACCTGAGTTCAGGCTCCCAGAACCAAGGCTAGGAAATACAACCAGGGAGCCATGATAATGGTGACTGTTTGCTCAGCCCTCCCACTTATGGCCCTGGAGTCGAGGAGGCTGTCATCTTAGTTTACAGCCCGGAAACCCAGGCTCAGAAAGGTAAATCACTTGGCTGAGATCATGCAGATGCAATTTAGCAGTCTAGGATGAGAACCAGTTTTCTCTCTAGCGCCCTGTTGTGGAAAAGACCATAGACCTGAGAAATGTCCCCTTCCTCCAGGGTATGCCAATGAGGTGGGGGAGGCTTTCCGTTCCCTGGTGCCAAGGGCTGTGGTGTGGCTGAGCTACGGTGTGTCCAGCTCCTATGTGTTGGCCGATGCCATTGACAAAGGCAAGAAGGCTAGAGAGGTGAGTGTTAGTTTACCTTCCCAGCCCCCACTCCAGCTCATGTCTTCAGCCTTACCATGTGCCAAAGTCCCTGTGGGACAGTCACATCCCCACAACCTCGCCCCAGTGGACTCCATACTCTAGTTTGTGGGACAGTGCACTTCCACATCTCCACCCCTTCCTGGAAGTGGTAATCTGTGCCCCACTCCTGAATGTGTACAGTGTCCCTCCTGCAGCCTTGAACGGTACAGTTCAGAACCCAAAACTGGGGCAGTTCCTTCTGCCCTAATGTCCCCTCCCCATTGGCCACTTCCCCCTGCCTTGTCCGGTTTCATGATCTTGTCCACAGAATTTCCTGCCTCTTCCTCCGCTGCATTAAGTGTCTGTCCCCACCAGGTGTCAAGCCCCGAAGCCAGTCGCAGCACCAGGGTGACTGTAGCTGTGGTGGACACCTTCATGTGGCAGGCTCTGGCCTCCGTGGCCATTCCAGGCTTCACTATCAACCGTATATGTGCTACCTCTCTCTATGTCCTGGGCACTGCCACCCGCTGGCCTGTGGCTGTCTGCAAGTGGACCACCACCACACTTGGGCTCCTGGCCATTCCCATCATCATCCACCCCATTGACAGGTGGGTGCCCTCCTAGCCTCAGGGATCACCTACTCTACAGGTAGTCAGGCTCTAAGAGGTGTGTGGCACAGGATAATGACAGCAGAAGCAGGACTGGGACTCGGGGCTCCTGAGATAGAAAGGATAGTCTGTGACCTTTTCATATCATCCAGCAGGCACTTTGGCAATAAAGGAGGAGGGAAGCCTTGAGGGTATGGGACACAGGACAAGTGAGTTTCCAGAAAGTCTGGTGTTACACAACAACCAGAGGCAGGCAAAAACAGTTACCATCCTAGTGTGGTGGGTTTCGGGGAGGTATTGGTGACAGAAGCACAATTCAAACTGAACAGTTAAGTGAGAGGAATAAAGCCTAGGGTTGATTACTCTCAGGCATGCTTAAATCTAGGTACTCAAATGATGTCATGGGGATCTGGGTCTCCCCATCCTGCTCTCCTGTACACCCCAATGTACTCCTTGCTTCACTCACTTTTCCCTTGAGGGAGTAGAGATAGCTCCCAGCTTCCATCCCACCACCATACCAATTCCTGCAGAAGCTTTTTAATAGTAATAGCAAAAAGCCTGATGGAGGCTGTTATTGGTTCATCAAGAGTAGATGGCCACCTCTGAGCCATTTTTCCTTTTCTGATTGGTCAGGCTTGAGTCATTATGCTTGCTCTTAGAACTAGTGATGAGTGTTGATCCAACTAGACCAATATAGAGTGGTAAGTGGAGGCTTTTTCTGGGGGAACATAACTTCCCCCCGAGGCCTAGAACAAGTCCTTTACCCTGTTTTTGCCTTAGTTTCCTCTACTGGATAAAGAAAAGGAAGATGGCTATTGTTCTGGAGATTTGAGTGTGGCTTTGCCAAGTAGTCCAGAGTGGGAGGAGCCTGATGAGATAGATCTCCACCTGATGTCATTTGTGCCCTGTAGCCCGGAGTCCCTCTCCTATCCCTGGTCTCCTGCCTTCTAATCCCTCATAAGCACCCCTGGCTACCTGCTCACTACTTGTATCCTCTTTATAGGTCAGTGGACTTCCTCCTGGACTCCAGCCTGCGCAAGCTCTACCCATCAGAGGGGAAGCCCAGCTCCTCCTGACTCTACCTGGTGCTTGGTCCCTGGGTTGGCCCCCTTGTGCCAGGGAGTGTGGATGTCTGGCTTCCCGGAGTCCTTGGCCCTGGCACCTGAGTGGATGTGAGCTGGACAGAAGCTTAGAGATAAAGATCTCAAGGAGCAGTAGCTATAGCAGGACCTGACTGCATCAACTTCCATAGAATCTATTGTACTGAAAGCAGAGTGGACTTGGGTGGGTCTGCCTCTGTCTTTTGATGACAAAGTTAATCCTCCCATGGAGGATAAGCCCACTGAGACCCAGGGAGGGCTAAGGAAAATGCCCAGTATTGCTTGGCAAGCTGGTTACCAGGATGCCCAGCTACTCAGCTGAGTCACTTCATGGCAGCATGGATGGATGACCGCAGATACTCAGGGAGAAACAAGTACAGCAGCTGGAAACCTCAAGACAGATTCTCTAGCCAGCCCATCCCTGGTGCATGGGCTGCTGGGGCCTGGCTTAAAGGCAGGACAGTCCTGAGCCAGGTGCTGGCCAGGCCAATAAACCCCTAAGAAGTTGAGTTTTCTTCTTCTCTATGGGGGGAGGAACAGGGATGTGGTGGTAGGAGCAGGGATTCTCTTGGAGGAGGTAAACTTCGAGAGGAGTGGACTGTAGTCAGGGGAGGGCTTTCTGGGCCTGCAGGAACAGGTAGGGGAAAGCAAGGAAAAGTATCCCAAGGAGGGACCAGTGTATGAACAGATCCAGTCGAGAGAAACATCAGATCCAAGGAACCAAAATGAACAGAAGGGGTGAAATAAGGGATTAGGTGAGGAGGTGAGTAGGGTGTCCTCCAGATCACCAGCCGCCCTGTGGGCCAAGGGGAAGATTCGACTGCGTTGGGCTGGTTAAGAAGTAGTTGGCCAGATAGCAAAGATTGGAGAGGGATATCTTAGTCTGTTTTCTGTTGCTATCACAAAAGACTTGAGTGGATAATTTATTATGAATAAAGGTTTATTTGGGCTCATGGTTCTGGAGGCTGGAAAGTCCAAGAGCATGGCACCAGCATCTTTGCAGCTTTGGGCGAGGGCCTGAAGCCTCTTCAACTCATGACAGAACATGGAATTGAGTGTGTGTAGAGGCCAGAAAAGGGGGCTCCATTCTCATGAGAAAGGCATTCATGCATTCATTTGTTCATTCACAAGGGTTCTGCCTCCATGACCCAGACACCTCCCACTAGGCCCCACCTCCCAACCCTGCGGCATTGAGGAGTTAAGCTCAGACACTGGAATTTGGGGGACACACACAAACCATAGCAAGGGACAATCTACTGGCTGCTGCCATGGTCCAGGCCTGAGGCACAGATGGGAGATATGGTGGGAGAACACTGGGAACAGAAGGAACAGGAATGAATGGGATCAGCTAGAGAAGAGAGGAGGGCCTGAGCCCAAGCACCCAGTGCTGGGGCAGCAGCCAAAGAAGTGGGAAGAAATCCAGAGGGAGGGCTCCAGCCAGGCAAGGGTCATAGCCAAAACCACTGTCTCCTTAGCTGGTTGCTTTGAGGGAAGGAAGAGCAGACCAGGCTTAAGTCTGTATGCTTTGAGGCCTCTGCCAGGTCACTTGGGTTCTCTGATCCTTAGAGTTTGGGTATGGAACAGAGATGGTGCTACATCTACCTACCTCCTGCATTAGCAGGAGAGCTAGGGCAGTGGGGTGGTGGTAAATGTTTAACCACGGGCTTCCTGGGGCAGGGGAATTTGACTTGTCAAGCCGGTGTAATTGCTCCTGACAAGGCCTTTTTCAAGCCACGCACATGAAGCTACTGAACATAGCTGGGACATGATGCCCAGTGGCACACTATAACGTTCCCAGTAGAGGTAGTAGAGTAGGGCCCCCTTATTCAAGGGGATACTTTGTTGTTGTTGTTGATGTTTTGTTACTGGGGATCCAGCTCAGGTCCTTGTGCTTGTGCAGCAGGTGCCAAACAAGGGGATACTTTGGAGGATGCTTCAAATTGCAGATGGTGCCAAACCCTACATATACTATGTTCTTTCCTGTGCATATTACATGTGATCAAGTTTAATTTATAAATTAGGCATAGAAAGAGGTTAACAACAATAACTATAATAACAATGGATTAGAACAATTATACATATTATGATAAAAGTTATTTAAAACTATGAATTAGCTGGGATGTAGCTCAGTGAAGGCTTTGCGTTCAATCCTTATTCCTGGTACCAAAAACAAAACAAAACAACTCCCCCAACCAAAAACAAAACCCACCACCACCATATAGCTTTAGAGTCAGGCATGGTAGCACATGCCTGTAATCCAGCACTCTGAAAGACTGAGGCAGGAGGATCACAAGTTCCAGCCCAGCCTGAGCAGTTTAGTGTCATAACAAGACCCCCGTCTCCAAATAAAAAAAAAAATAAAAAGAGTTGGAGATGCAGCTTACTGTGAAGGCCCTGTGTTCAACCTCCTGTACCACTACCAACAACAACAACAATAAAAAAATGAATTGTTTATTTCTGGAATTTTCTGTTTAATATTTTTGGACCATAGTTGACCATGGGTAACTAAAACTGTGGATGTGGGGTGGTTGCTATAAATATAAATAACTTCAAGAGTATAGATAATAGTAAAGTGTAGCCAGGTAATTTGGAAGCAGCATTTGAGTATTTACTATGTTTTTCTTTTTTGGTACAGGGGATCGAACTCAGGTCCTTGCGCTTGCGCAGCAGGCGGCGAAACCACTGAGCTAAATCCCCAGCCCCTATGTTTATAATATAATATACAGATATCCCTTATTTAATGACTTGCGTGTTTAACAGCTGTTTGGACTTAAGGACCCACTGCTCAGACTTAAGACCCTTTTTTGGGCCATATATGTGCTGCCAAAGTGAGCCTAAGACCCCTCTTTTTTTGGCACAGTTTGTACATCTTGTTTATAGAGCTTCAGTGTCTTTTTGTACAGCACACCGTGTTTATATAGTACTGTAATGTTTGCTGACTGTACTGTACAGTACAGTGCTGTAGTTTTATGTTTATACATTGCAGTACTGCATGTAAGAGTTGTGCAAATAGAAGCAAAGTAAAAACAAACAAAGGGCCAGGGATTTAGCTCAGTGGTGCTGCTGCCTGCCTCACAAACACAAGGTCCTGAGTTCAATCCCCAGTACCAAAAAAACCCAAACCAAATCAAACAAAACAAAACAAAAAACAAGCAAAGTGATCAAGTTGGAATTTCACTTGACCACTTCTACCATTTCCTTGTTCTGAATGTTGTAATGTACCTACTATATGCAATTCCTTGTTTAGTGACCAATTTACTTAACAGTTTAGTCATAGGAACATAACTTGGTTGTTAAGTGAGTGATATCTCTTTAAATCAAAGTTTATATCATTTATTTATTTATTTACTTATTTTTCTGACCCAGGGTCTCGGTCTGTAATTCTTGCTGGTCTTGAACTCCCTATGAAGCCCAGGCTGGGCTTGAACTTGCAGCAATTCTCCTGTCTCAGCCTCCAAAGTGCTGGGATTACAGGCATGTGCCACCACAACTGGCCCTCATTTCTTTTTGTTAATATTTAATTTTTAATAATGGCTATGTTTGACAACCAGCTCACAAAATTCCTGGCAAGCTAACAATTGGCTCTGGCCCCTACCAATTTGTCCACATGCCACTCACTAGACCACAGGCAAGAGGAGTGCAAGTAAATCAAACACAACCTGTGGCTGGTCATGGTGGTGCACAACTGTAATCCTGGCTACTTGGGAAGTTGAGGCAGGAGGATTGCAAGTTCAAGGTCAGCCTGGGCAACTGTCCATAGCAAACACCAATAAATTAAAGGAAGAGAGGTTTATTTTGGCTCATGCTTTTTAGAGGTTTTGATCCATAGCTAGCTGGCTTCAGGACATAAGCAGCATGAGGGAAGGGCCTGCTGAGGAGGAAAACTGCTCATGTCATGGCCACCAGGAAACAGATGGCAGAGGGAGGAACCATGCAGGGAGATAGACCCTTCCAGGTCACAACCCCAGTAAGCCCTCTCTTCTAACTGGGCCCTACCTCCTAACATCACATTTTGCTATAGAGTCCCCACAATTCAATCACCTTTCAAAAGCCCTGCCTACTCATGGTTACAGCAGCACAGTTCATAATAGCTAAATCTTGGAAGAGGCCTATATGTCCATCAACAGATGAATGGATAAAGAGAATGCAATATTTATGTACAAAGAAGCACTCCTGCCGTAAAGAAGGAGAAACTTAAGTCATCTGTAGGAAAATGAGAATATAATGTTAAGTGAAATAAATCAGACACACACACTTAAATATTGCATGGCTTCAACTGCTGCAGAGGAGAGCTTGAGAGCTGCAGATTCACACTCTTGATGAGGACCATGGCATGCCCTGTGAGGTCACAGAAATAAGAAACCAGTCAATTATTCACAGTTTGAGGATTCTGATGGCAATGATGATTTTATTTCTGCAACTGTACCTTTAAGCAAGAAATCCAGAATAACACCAAAAGAGTTAAAACAAGACAAACTATCCTACTAAGAGAAAACCCCTAAAAAAGAGTGGCTTTAGATCACAAGATCTTCCACAGAGGCTTAGAAGCTGCTCTAGCTTCATCAGTGAAGGACCATCCAATACTCACCAATGATGTGCAGCAGTCTCAGGATAAAATGGCATCTGGAAGTAGCAGCAATGATAGCAGCCCACTGGGAGGGATGGTCATTAAGTCCCCAAGTCAGAGTCTCTGCCTTGGCTTATCCAGATTGGCATGAGTTAAACCTCTGCATCCAAATGCCACTAGTAGCTGAGTGTGGTGATAAAGAAATGTTTGATTGAGAGAATCAGTTTTGCAAGTGTGTTTATATTTTATTTGTATTTACAGTTGAACAGGGTATTGTAATATAGGGGAATCCTTTTTGTTTGTTTGTTTGTTTGTTTTGGGGGTTTTTTTTGGTACTGGGATCGAACTCAGGACCTTGGCTTGTGAGGCAGGCTTGGTGCCACTAAGCTACCACTGAGCAACATCCCCAGCAGGGGAATCCTTTAGTGTGTCATATAAATGATTTTTGCCCATTTTAAGGTTATATTCTCTGAAAAGCTCTTCAGGACTTCAGGAGAGGTTTCATTTCATTCCTTCTGAAGAGCATACTGTATTTTCTTTTTTCTTTTCTTTTTTTTTTGGTACTGGGGATTGAGCTCAGGACCTTGCTCTTGTGAGGCAAGTGGCGGAACCATTGAGCTAAATCCCCAGCCCAAAATACTGTATTTTTTAAAAATTAATTTTATTAGTACATTTTAGGTATGCAATATAATGACACTCATCATTGGAAATTTGCACCTTTACATAATCTCTTGGCTCTTATTTTTTCCCCATTCAACTCCTCCATCCCTCCCTATTTACAAAGACTTTGTTTCCATTTTTTCATTTTTTCATATTAATTCCATTCCCTTCTTTCCTTTCCCCTACCCCCCCAACTCCCCCTCCCCTTTGCCCCTTTTCTTCCTATTTCACATTATCTATTATACCTTTTAGTCCTTATTTACACTTTCAGTTTCTCACACCAGAGAAACTGTTTGGTATTTACACATGTGTGTCCTATTTATTTCACTTAAGAGTATCACCTCAATGTACATCCATTTAGCTATAAATGTCTCTAATTTCTCATTTTTAACTTTTTGATTATACATTGTTTTTAAAAAACAGCATTGCCAAATTTGTTTTTAGTTACCATTATTTGGCACCAAGTGATAGTTTCCAAAAATTAAATCTAACTTTGAGGTAATGCAGAAAGTACACACTTGGCTTTGAGGGCAACCCCAAAAGAATTTGAAAAGTGTTTTGTGCAGTGGCAGTGTAGTTAAGACAGTGAACTGTGGCCTTCCAAGGTGACTACCTCCAAGGAACTCAGCTCATTTGAATGTACTGAGCTTTGGATGTATTTGTTTCATTTTTTAAAAAGGTTCACATTTTATAGTGTCAAAGGCAAGAACTAAGATTAGCATAATTTCTT